ACGAGGTACAGAAAAAGCTCTAGAATTTATCTTCCTTACATTTACAATTTATGTATCCGTTATTGTAAAAATTTGTCTTTCCACTTCTTTCCCAAGACTACAAATATTTGAGTACAAAGTAACCAGTTTTGACTTATTTCTACTTAAGAAGTGGTTAAATAATTAAGCGATTAGGGAATTGGGGACATAAAGCTCTGATGAAAGAACTGGAATTTTACTTAAACAAAAACCTAACCAAACCAATCACTAGCTGAGTACAGTGGGACTGATTTCTTCAAAATATTAGATGTAATAAAGACAGACATTTTTCCAGTTCGATGAGAGTGATCGAAAAGTTGTAAATTTTGGAAACTTCTGTGGACACCTGGTCCTAAAGCGAATTACTTAGAAAACAAATGACTATTAAGTTTAACATATTTAGATTTTTACAGCTATGGTGAGAAACGTTTAAAATCTATAACAACCCTGTCACATCCTTTGAGATATACTAGTGATGTGACAAAAGAGGTCAAAAGAGGTATTTGACATTGACTGGTATCAGCACCCTGGGGATTTGGCAGTCTGTGTGTATGCATGCACTGCAACCGTCTCTGATTCCATTCATTAGCCACTCGTAGGGTGCTAGCTATTTGACTAAGTGGATTGTTTTATGATTTAAAAAGTAAGGAATATTTTATGTTATTTTTATGCACGTTTTTTACAAAGCTATATTTAATTATAATTTTCTTTAAAAGTATATTTGTACAATTGAAGAATATTTTGTATCAGGTATGTAGGTATGTACTGGTACATCCACATTTTATTTCACCAAGTAGGTTTTTATAATTTTATTTTTAATTGTAGCCCGTCCTTCAAAAGTACCGGAGAATTTGAGAAATGCCTTTACGGTCTCAAATTTGCTGATGGGAAAACCCCTACCTATACCTCCTAGTGTGGGACATAATGCCTCCGGTGAAGGATGGGCAACGTTGGTAAGACGGGTAACATAGGAGGGGACCGAGCAGGAGTCGAGATAAACTTCTAACTTCATTCTTGTGATGAAGAAGGGCAATCTCTTGTCCTAGGAGTAAGAAATTGCTCCTTAAGGCGGATGAACTATTTACTTAGTCAACGGCATGGGAATGTGGAAGGCAATGGAAAACCACCACATTATTTTCTTCCTAGTTATAGTATTATGACATACAATCCAGGAATGGCCCTCAGTCCCCGGCAGACCTTCAATGGTCAGAGGGTGCTAAGAATCTCCGGACAAAACAAAAAATTAGCTACATGGAATGTTAGAAGTATGTTTGAAAGTGGAAAATTAGATAATACGGTGAAGGAAATGGAAAGATTAAAGATTGATATATTGGGTATAAGTGAAGTTAGATGGCCTGGTACGGGAGTTTGCAAAACACAGAATGGAATTTTTTATTATTCAGGAAATAATTCGATAAATCATAACCACGGAGTAGGTGTTATATGCAACGAAAATACAAGCAAGGCAGTTTTATTCTTCTTACCATATTCTGATCGAATAATTTTAGTAAAAATAAAAACAAATCTAGGAATCTTAAATATAGTTCAAGTATATGCACCAACTGCAGAAAAAGATGACAGTATTATAGAGGACTTTTATCAACATATAAGTGATGTTTTAAAATATACAAAGAAAAATGAAATTTTAGTTATTATGGGAGATTTTAATGCAAAAATTGGGAAAGGAAGAGTTGATGATTTAGTGGGAAACTTTGGATTGGGAGCCCGCAATGACAAGGGAGATAGATTATTACAATTCTGTCAGGAAGAGCAATTAGTCATTAGTAATACTTGTTTTAAACTGCCAAATAGAAGATTATATACATGGAGATCACCTCAGGATAAACAGAATAATGTTGTGAGAAACCAGATAGACTATATTTTAATCCGAAAAAGGTATAGGAATAGTATTAAATCAGTTAAAACATATCCAGGGGCAGATGTTTGTTCAGACCATAATCCAGTAGTGGCTTGTATGAGAGTTAAGTTTAAGAAAAATAGTATTAAAAGAAGTAGAAATATAGATATAGGGAGGCTAAGAGATCCCAAAACAAAGGAAAATACTAAAAATGACATAAATGAAGGTTTTTCAAAAATAAGGAAAAAATTTTGCAAAAGAAAAGAAGAAGAAAAAACAAATAGTGAAGAATTATGGAATAATCTGAGGAAAACTATAAACAATGTAGTGGAACAAAATCTAAAACCTGAGAAAACATTAAAAAAGAAAGAATGGATGTCAAAAGAAATATTAGAATTAATGGAAGAACGAAGACATTGGAAAAATAAAAATATTTTTAAATATAAAGAACTCCATATCACTATAAGAAGGAAAATTAAACAAGCAAAAGAAAATTGGATGAAAGAAAAATGCGAGGAAATTGAAAATTTGCAAAGAAAACATGATACGTATAATGTACATAAGAAAATTAAAGAGCTTACCAGAACAAATAGAAGAAATAAATTTACTAGTATTTTAAATGAAAAGGATGATTTAGTTTTGGAATTGGGGGAAAAACTGAAATTATGGAAAGAGTATGTTGAAAAATTATATTTTGATGAGAGAAATTTAAAACCTATAATAATTGATAAAGAAGAAGGACCAACAATACTAAAAGTAGAAGTAAAGAATGCAATTAGAACAACTAAAGAAGGTAAAGCTACCGGACCAGATGAAGTTCCCGCTGAAATTTTGAAATTACTGGATGAAGATAGTCTTGATATTTTAGTGGATTTTTACAACATTATTTACGAAAGTGGTGTAATTCCTCAAGATCTTTTAATGTCTACGTTTATAGCAATTCCCAAAAAAGATAATGCAAAAAAGTGTGGTGATTATAGAACTATAAGCCTGATGAGTCATGTTTTAAAAATTTTCTTAAGAATAATTCATACAAGAATATATAAAAAATGTGAAGAAGATTTAAGCAACACACAGTTTGGGTTTAGAAAATCTTGTGGAACAAGAGAAGCTCTTTTTGCTTATAGAGTTCTGGTAGAAAGAAGTTTAGAGGTTAACAAGGATATATACGCCTGTTTTATAGACTACGAAAAAGCATTTGATAGAATTCTGCATGATAAATTAATAGATATACTTAGGAAGAAAGGAATTGATAGAAATGAATTGCAAATTATAACAAATCTTTACTGGGAACAGAAGGCCAACATTTTAATTGATTCTGAATTACCTGAAGAAATAGAAATAAAAAGAGGAGTAAGGCAAGGATGTATTTTATCACCTTTACTTTATAATATTTATTCAGATGAAATTTTTAAAGAAGCTTTAGAAGATATGGAACACATTGGGATTGTAATAAATGGGATGAATGTAAATAATATAAGTTACGCTGACGATACAGTGGTTTTAGCAGAAAATATAAATGATTTGACAATACTAATGGAAAAGATTAATTCAATAAGTAAATTATATGGACTTCAGATGAATTATAAGAAAACAAAGCTACTTATTTCATGCAAGAAAAATATAATGTAACGTTGCAGATACAAAACAGGACAATTGATACGGTTTCATCAATTAAGTATTTGGGGACTATCATACAGGAAGATGGCAGATGCATTAAAGAAATTAAATCTAGAATAGAAAATGCGAGGGGTACTTTTATCAGGATGCAGACATTTTTTAAATGTAATGTTTTTAATTTACATCTTAAAATTAGAATGTTAAGGTGCTATGTGATGTCAGTTTTGTTTTATGGAGTAGAAACGTGGACCTTAGATAAAAATATGTTAAACAAACTTGAAGCATTCGAAATGTGGTTATATAGAAGAATTTTGAAAATATCTTGGACAGATAGAATAACAAATGAGGAAGTTTTGGAAAGAATGGGGAAAGAAAAAGAAGTTTTAAATACAGTTAAAAGAAGAACGACGGGGTATTTTGGCCACATCATCCGAGGAAGTAAATATGAAATTTTGAGAAATATTTTAGAGGGAAAAATCTGTGGAAAGAAAAGCCCAGGAAGGAGAAGGAAAAGTTGGTTAGGTAATATATGTGAATGGAATAATAAGAAAGCAGAAGAACTCACACGTGAAGCACAATTAAGATTGTTATAATACTAGTCCTACATTCAGAAATGAATATGGAACCAGAAGAAGAATTGTAGCCCTTATATAGTGGCTAGTGATTCAGAATATAATTGTGATATTAAAAATGCATTTAGAGAAGTCTATGGTTTTTACTGGTTTATCGAACAAATGAATACGAATGGACCCCAGACCATAGTTGAACCCAATTAAATGATTGCCCCTGGAAGTCGACTTCTTACAGAAACACAGCTTCCGTATCATCAAATTTCATGGCACACCAATGGATTGTATATTATATTTTTTCATGTAAAGTAAATTTATGTTTATATTTTTAATAAAAGTAATTGTTAATATAGAACATCTAAAAAATTTTTGAATTTTATGAATTTAAACTGATTTAATCTTGTTTGTTTGTTTAGTTAAGTTACAGCAACGCAAGGCGCAAACCCATGACCAAACTCCCAGTGTTCAGTGAATGAAACCGCTTGGTCATTGGTAGGCCCGATTCAATCTTACCAATTCACCTATTTCACATTTACTATTTTGAAAAACAATTACCAAATCCTACAAAACTTTTTGGAGGCCTTTGGAATGTCAAAACTTGATTAAATTTGCTTTTAATCATTGACTAAAGAGTCTGCAGTTAACAGTATAGAAAATCAATTACATAACCTATATATACTGATATTTTAATGAATTTTTTAAAAATAAATTTAGGACAGAACGTGATAAATGTTATTCAAATAAAAGGCGATCTACGATTAATTTCGAAAAATAAAAATCTTGGCGCTTAAAAATAATTATTTTTCGCTTTTTTCGTGAATTAATTGATAAAAATTGTTTATTTAACGAAATTACTACTTTATAAGCAAAAAACTGATAGCAAAGTAACAATTATATTATCATTGTGTATGATTACATAAAAATCACATATTTACCTTTTTCCTCCCCAAAGGAATACGGGAACTTCTGAGCATAATGCAATGTTAAAGAGTAAAGAAATCAAGAAAAAACGCCTTACAAATAATTTCTCTTCCATCTTTTCGGCAAATCACATGAGAATGTAAACACGTAACGCCCTCTTGTGATTAGAAACTGTTAACTGAATTTGTCACTTTAAAAATAAATTCTGTTTAATGTTAATGTATGTAAAAGCCTACATTAATTATACATATATTCCTGAAATGCAAGTAATAAATTTATAATAAAGTAAAATTTATTATAATTTATGAATTTTATATTATTACTAAACAAATTTCCTCCATTAAATTTATTTACTAACTAGCTGTTATCCGCGACTTCACCCGCGCGGATTTTGCAAGCAAACCCCATTTATATTCAGTACAGTACTGTATTTCAACAACCATGGTAATTGTTATATAACACCTACTGCTGAGAATGATGAGAATTGCTGAGAATCAAACGAACTATTTTCAATTTAATCAATTTTCTGGAAAGTTTACAATCGTTCTATAATCGAACCAATATGCAATAAAAAATTCGAATTTAAAACGGTCGAACATTTGGTTAAAAAATCGAAATATATAAAAATATTTATAACAATGTCTGAAAGGTTATCAACATCTAAGTACTCAATGAAAACTAAATGTAGTTAAAAACAAAAAATCGCATCTAAAATAGTACATTAGAAGCCGTTCTTCAGGTTAAGCCTTAATCCTCTCCCTCTCCCCCGCGGGGAATTTCGAAAAATCCTTTATTAGTGTGCGTTTTCATGACGTACCTTAACTGTGTATCAAATTTCACCTCTTTAGATTCAGCGGTTTGCTCTGGACGATGAAGAATCAATCAGTCAGTCAGGATAAGTAATTTTATATATTTAGATTGAAGTGTTGTTGTGTGATTTTTTTGCTTTTTTCACCGTGGGCACTAAGAGGGCCGCTTTTAGCAAGCCCATTATGGGTTCGGCCAGACCCACAATATGGAGCAACCGGGTGGTGAGGGACGGGGCCGACATATCCGGTCGGACTACTCCCCGAAAAATTCCTGGGGATTTTTTGACCCGCGTCTCCAAAGCTGTTGGCCGTCATCTTGACCGCTCGGCCATCCGGCCGCCAGGCTGTTGCGGCTCCTCGCTGCTTGTATCGTTATTCGCTTTCTTTGACAAGTCTTTCTGTTTTTAACGTATAAGATGAGGACAGTTTTAGTTTTTCTAATCGTGATTTGCGAATTGCAAGTAGCTTATGGAATAATTTCGTGTGTTACAACAGGAATTTCGGCGTCTCTAAGATGGATAGATGGCTGAAAACCGGATCCTTAATCTATACTAATATTATAGAGGTAATGTTTGTATGTAAGTTTGTATGCAGCAGGTAATCTCCGAAATTACTCATCCGATTTCAAAAATTCTTTCACCAATATTTAGAATGGAACTTCAGAGTGGACATACGCTGTATATTATTCCGTTAAACATTCATATAAATTAAAAGATATCATCTAGGTTAAGGCTTTTATGTCCAACAGATGGCGCTACGAGTACGACGCCCTAAGTTTGCTTTTCTGTGAGGCATTATGCTTTTCTGTGAAAATGAACTAAAGCAGATCATCTTCTATCTATCTATATAAATAAAAATGTAATGTTCGTTTGTTCCTACCGATTCCTTTGAAATTTTGACACAACGCTGCATTCGAATACGCACGTGTTTTTATATAATATACGTGTCGAAATTCCCCCCACTGAAGGGAGATGGTTAGGATTAAGGCTTACCGTAAAGAACTCTGCTTCTATTTATACTATTTTAGATGCGGGTTTTTGCGTTTTTGATTGCGTTTTAATAGGGTACGTCAACAGAATGTACACTAAGAAGAAATTTTTCGAAAAATTCCCCCTCCCCCACGGGGGAAGTGTTATAAATTTATAATAGATACATTTTGAGCCACAACAACGCGTGGTGGGGTCTGCTAGTATTAAAGAAAGACAGCAGTGCAAAAAACCAGCAATTAACTTACAATAATTACAACGGACGACCGGATGGCCGAGCGGTTAAGGTGGCGTCCTACCGCTCTAGGGACCTTTTTTTTTAATTAATAAACGTAAAAAATAATTGCAATGCTCATATTGATTAGACATGGTCATATTCCTTTTGATGTTCGTTTACTTCTCGTTGATATTCAGGTATAGACCCGACCTCCGCGCTTGCATTATCTGCGGATATGCCTGAGAGTTCTGAAGAATTTCCCAGCACTCACGCACAGTCAAATTATCGCATGCGACAGAGAGAAACGAGAATGAGTAACACGGCATAAAAGCGACATAAATATGACGCTTTCTATTTGAAACTTGAATCTACGAGGTCCGGAGACAGTGAACATCCTTTTTTACAATGTGTTATCTGCTTTGAGGTTTTGTCAAATCATTGCATGAAATCTTCAATTCTATTGCGATATCTCCACATTAAATATTCGGATTTTGTGAATAAGCCTACTGAATTTTTTAAAAGGAAATGCAAAAAATTGAAAGTGAGGCAAAGTTGTTGACATAAGCCAAAATCGTCAGAGCCAAACAAAGCGGCGCTAAAAACACCCCATCTTTTCAACTAACGTTAGCAGAATTTTTAATTATGCCTATTGCAAAAATCATTATGGAATGCATGCTGGGTGACAAAGCACAGAAAAAAATTGGACCTCACGCCTTAAATGATTTTGTTTCGCGTCGTATTCACAATATGGTAGATAGTGTCGAGTGCCAACTGGCGAATTATATTAAAAATATTTTGTACTAATGCGTTGCAAATCTATGGATTGGCGCACATTCTAGTTTATGTTAGGTACACATCAAATGATTCCATTCAGAAAGATATTCTCTTTTGTTAACTGTTAAAAACTACATCAAGAAGTAAAGACATTTTCTCCTTGTTGATAATTTCAAGTCCAAAAATGATATTGAATATTTCAAATGTGTAGAAATTTGCAAGGATGGAGCAAAGACCATGACAAGAAGGCTCAGCGGACTTATCAGTCACATTCAAAAGGTAGCCCCCAAAACAAATTAGATATACTGTACTATAGTAGAATGTCGTTTATCCGAAAGTCGGTTATCAGAAACGTCGGTTATCCGAAAGAATTCCAGTCGGCCTAAAGTATAATTTTTATTTGTTTTTATATTTTTCAATGTATATATTTCGTTTGTAAAACATAAAGAAATCATTTTAACGATACAATAGCCACGATTATTATTTTAAAAAGTTTACGTTAGGCTTAACATCGACGAAAATTCAATGCAAAGCGACACGCAACGGAGAGAAATTCCAACACGGGATAGGTTAATATATTTTTTCGTACATAATCGGTTATCCGATAAATAAGTTATCCGAACAACCCCAGTCCCCAATTGATTCGGATAAACGACGCTCTACTGTATTCACCGAGAAGCATTGATCGCAAAGAAAGTGTCCGCGAACGTGTAAACTGTCTCAATGAAGTGGTAAAAATTGTCAAATTTGAAAAGGCTAGGCCTATGAATGCAAAGATATTTAACCTCTATCTGCAAAAAATGAGTAGCCAGCATGTAACGCTGCTGTTTCACATAAAAGTCCTCTGGCTCTCACGATATTGACAAATATAATGGAGCTGCGTTATAAACTTAAGTTTTTTTTTTTTTTTTTCGGGGAATCGTTTTGAGTTGGGCAATTGTCTTCTAGACCAGTGGTCTCCAACCATTCTGACCTCACAGACCACTCAACTTACAAATTTGAATCCCGCGGACAACTGCCATGAATTTTTATAAACAGAATATAATGATCATAAAAGTTCCATTTTACTTTATTAATATGAAATTCACTCGTTTAATTATAACAAACTAGCAGGTAAGCCCGGCGTTTCCTGGGCAAAAAATAAGAACAAACATTAAGATTAGCTAATTTCGTACTTCTAACCATTCTAATTATAGACTATTATATAAAATATTATAGAATTTGGTTTATATAACTACAAAGATATCTCACAAGTCTATCTTACCCGTTTTCATTGGGTGCAAGAATTAGGTAAAATTTATACAAAGAGTATTCTACAGTCTATACAAGGGGGTATTCGGAAATTCGTATTTCTGTCCAAGGGATAAGCAGCCAGAAGTTTGAGAACCACTGCATTAGTACGTTATAATGCGCGCTAACTGTTAAACATCAATGTTCTCTAATTTAAATATTATGGTGTACGTACTTTTTAACTATAACATGCACTTTTTGTGAATGAAGTAAACAAAGCCGAAAACTTGTTAAGACATTTTCTCTAAACTTTCATTATGGCACTTACCGTCTTTTACATCCGAACCCTTCAATTAGATAAAGCTTTCAAAAATAAATTTTTGTTACAATACAGTATTTGAAATATAATTACTGTTTGTACTTATACAAACTGTAAACTTCTGACTTATTTTAATCAAAATTTTCCTAGCAGATCCAAAAACAGCTGATAACTTCCTTCTTTGTCCCATGGCTCCGTCTAACAATTTTTTGTTAATAATAGCCGATGATCAAAGCGATAAAGATAGGCCTATACCAGTCTGCCGCTCTGACGGATCCAGACCAGATCAAGTCATAAATTTGCATAGTGGGTAGAATCGGAGATGTATTGACATAGACATACGACATTACATCAATAATCAGAGGATAAAGAAGCATACCATTGTTCCTATTTAAACGAGAGAAGAAAATAATCGAAGATGCCCCTACCACCTGATCGTCCCATTGCGGGCTTGGTCGAATAAATAATAGTAATAGAAAAAAATTTTTATTGCTTGCAGAGCAAAGAGAGTTTAAAAAAGAATACAGTCAGAAATTTAAAACAATAACAGGTCTTTCAGTTAAAATAGATGGAAAAACGTTTTTCTACCAGTATAGCCTCTTACAAAAAGTTACTGAATCTTATATGAATTGTGGGGTGGGAGAAATAGTCTAACAAATCACGGAATAAATGTAAATCTATATTGCATACATTAATTTTATGCTATGCTTTGATTGAGATAGTCAAATTTTCATTTTGCAAAATCTTGATACGAACAAAAATTCTTGTTATGTAGTTAGAAGATTAATTTAATCTTAATAAAATAAATCATTATTACATAGTAATTTAATAGCCTACATTTAATAA